GCATCCTATGATGTAATGAATCTAGAGAGAGAGAAGCTTACAGGGTAACAGACAGGGAGCGGATGAATTTCTTCCATCACTGAACTTAGCAGTGTGGGAATGCATCCTATGATCTTATGAATCTAGAAAGAGAGAGAGAAACTTACAGGGTAACAGACAGGGAGTGGATGACTTTCTTCCATCACTGAACATAGCAGTGTGGGAATGCATCCTATGATCTTATGAATCTAGAGAGAGAGAAACTTACAGGGTAACAGACAGGGAGCAGATGACTCTCTTCCATCACTGAACATAGCAGTGTGGGAATGCATCCTATGATCTTATGAATCTAGAGAGAGAGAGAGAGAAACTTACAGGGTAACAGACAGGGAGAAGATGACTCTCTTCCATCACTGAACATAGCAGTGTGGGAATGCATCCTATGATCTTATGAATCTAGAGAGAGGGAGCGAAACTTACAGGGTAACAGACAGGGAGTGGATGATTTTCTTCCATCACTAAACAAAGCAGTGTGGGAATGAATCCTATGATCTTATGAATCTAGAGAAAGAGAGAGAAACTTACAGGGTAACAGACAGGGAGTGGATGACTCTCTTCCATCACTGAACTTAGCAGTGTGGGAATGCATCCTATGATCTTATGAATCTAGAGAGAGAGAGAGAGAAACTTACAGGGTAACAGACAGGGAGTGGATGACTTTCTTCCATCACTGAACATAGCAGTGTGGGAATGCATCCTATGATCTTATGAATCTAGAGAGAGAGAGAGAAACTTACAGGGTGACAGACGAGGAGCGGATGACTCTCTTCCCTCACTGAACATAGCAGTGTGGGAATGCATCCTATGATCTTATGAATCTGGAGAGAGCGAGAGAAACTTACAGGGTAACAGACAGGGAGCAGATGACTTTCTTCCATCACTGAACTTAGCAGTGTGGGAATGCATCCTATGATCTTATGAATCTAGAAAGAGAGAGAAACTTACAGGGTAACAGACAGGGAGCGGATGAATTTCTTCCATCACTGAACTTAGCAGTGTGGGAATGCATCCTATGATCTTATGAATCTAGAGAGAGAGAGAGAGAGAGAGAGAGAAACTTACAGGGTAACAGACAGGGAGTGGATGACTTTCTTCCATCACTGAACTTAGCAGTGTGGGAATGCATCCTATGATCTTATGAATCTAGAGAGAGAGAGAGAGAAACTTACAGGGTAACAGACAGGGAGCGGATGAATTTCTTCCATCACTGAACTTCGCAGTGTGGGAATGCATCCTATGATCTTATGAATCTAGAGAGAGAGAGAGAAACTTACAGGGTAACAGACAGGGAGCGGATGAATTTCTTCCATCACTGAACTTAGCAGTGTGGGAATGCATCCTATGATCTTATGAATCTAGAGAGAGAGAGAGAGAAAATTACAGGGTAACAGACAGGGAGCGGATGAATTTCTTCCATCACTGAACTTAGCAGTGTGGGAATGCATCCTATGATCTTATGAATCTAGAGAGAGAGAGAGAGAAAATTACAGGGTAACAGACAGGGAGCGGATGAATTTCTTCCATCACTGAACTTAGCAGTGTGGGAATGCATCCTATGATCTTATGAATCTAGAGAGAGAGAGAGAAACTTACAGGGTAACAGACAGGGAGCGGATGAATTTCTTCCATCACTGAACTTAGCAGTGTGGGAATGCATCCTATGATCTTATGAATCTAGAGAGAGAGAGAGAAACTTACAGGGTAACAGACAGAGAGTGGATGACTTTCTTCCATCACTGAACATAGCAGTGTGGGAATGCATCCTACGATCTTATGAATCTAGAGAAAGAGAGAGAAACTTACACGGTAACAGACAGGGAGCGGATGACTCTCTTCCATCACTGAACTTAGCAATGTGGGAATGCATCCTATGATCTTATGAATCTAGAGAGAGAGAGAGAAACTTACAGGGTAATAGACTGGGAGTGGATGACTTTCTTCCATCACTGAACTTAGCAGTGTGGGAATGCATCCTATGATGTAATGAATCTAGAGAGAGAGAAGCTTACAGGGTAACAGACAGGGAGCGGATGAATTTCTTCCATCACTGAACTTAGCAGTGTGGGAATGCATCCTATGATCTTATGAATCTAGAAAGAGAGAGAGAAACTTACAGGGTAACAGACAGGGAGTGGATGACTTTCTTCCATCACTGAACATAGCAGTGTGGGAATGCATCCTATGATCTTATGAATCTAGAGAGAGAGAAACTTACAGGGTAACAGACAGGGAGCAGATGACTCTCTTCCATCACTGAACATAGCAGTGTGGGAATGCATCCTATGATCTTATGAATCTAGAGAGAGAGAGAGAGAAACTTACAGGGTAACAGACAGGGAGAAGATGACTCTCTTCCATCACTGAACATAGCAGTGTGGGAATGCATCCTATGATCTTATGAATCTAGAGAGAGGGAGCGAAACTTACAGGGTAACAGACAGGGAGTGGATGATTTTCTTCCATCACTAAACAAAGCAGTGTGGGAATGAATCCTATGATCTTATGAATCTAGAGAAAGAGAGAGAAACTTACAGGGTAACAGACAGGGAGCGGATGACTCTCTTCCATCACTGAACTTAGCAGTGTGGGAATGCATCCTATGATCTTATGAATCTAGAGAGAGAGAGAGAGAGAAACTTACAGGGTAACAGACAGGGAGTGGATGACTTTCTTCCATCACTGAACATAGCAGTGTGGGAATGCATCCTATGATCTTATGAATCTAGAGAGAGAGAGAGAAACTTACAGGGTGACAGACGAGGAGCGGATGACTCTCTTCCCTCACTGAACATAGCAGTGTGGGAATGCATCCTATGATCTTATGAATCTGGAGAGAGCGAGAGAAACTTACAGGGTAACAGACAGGGAGCAGATGACTTTCTTCCATCACTGAACTTAGCAGTGTGGGAATGCATCCTATGATCTTATGAATCTAGAAAGAGAGAGAAACTTACAGGGTAACAGACAGGGAGCGGATGAATTTCTTCCATCACTGAACTTAGCAGTGTGGGAATGCATCCTATGATCTTATGAATCTAGAGAGAGAGAGAGAGATTTGGTAGTATGGGACAGAGTGAATGAAGTATGGGACAGAAGTGTGGTCCCATTCAGCGAAGTGTGGGACATCGCCTTTCGTTTATGTACTGGCCCATACTTCCTCTCAAAATTACGGAAGTGTGGACCAAAAGGCCCACACTTCCTAGAAGTTTGGGGCAACTTCCATAGAAATGATAGTCACCAGTCTTTTGATTATGGAAAGCTGGAATGTATTGTAATTGCACAAAAAACACAATTTATCATTTAAAATTGTATTAATACATTTGTGGTTTCTTGGTTGTCGTCACAGGGAATGACGATCAAGACAAAAAACAACAACTAAGTGCTAAAATCAACTAAAAAACATAATTTTGCGGGGAGACTACCTCAAAAGGGCCTTTATAAAGTTTAATATAAAGGCACGCATGTGGACACCGGCGCCCCATACACTCTACATTAATTAGCTAATTAATACTAGGAGTTTAGCGACACAAAAACAAGGCAATAAGATGGACGAATCGAGCGATGACATGGATTTTTCTATAGATTCTACGGTAAGTACACCACATATCTCACGTTAAACTAATAGTGAACTCTAACCGTGAAAAATAATGTCTAAAAACTAGTTAACAGGGACTCTACGTACTCGTAATTAGCACGCGTTACCACCGGTATAGCGGCTAGTCGTCTAGTTACCAGATTCAGCGGTATCCCTAACTCCAGGAAGCTCCAACACCGGCGCCGCGGCGGCGGTGTTGGAGCTTCATGGAGTTACGGTACCCCCAAAACTTCCGCTGAAATTACATCTAGACCTACGTCAGGCTTTTTAATGACTGTGGAAAAATGTCAGTTTTATTCTTTTAAAACATCCCATACCAGACGGACATTTTTGTCTTGTCCAAATCTAGAATTATTGATAGTCCTTTTTAGGTTTAAGAAATAACTAATCTGGTCTAGATTATAGACTAAACATCTGATCTAGTACTTTGGAAGTAGAAATCTACTGTAGATCTAGAGGTATAGAGTTCTTAGTTAGACTTAAAGGTCTAGACCTAGATCTACTTAAAATGACACCATGATTAATGATAAAAATGTAATATTTTTCAAAGTGTTCCCAGGTTTTGTTTTGTTTTGTTTTCAATTAACTTTAGAGTAAATCAACAACTCTTTCACGTAAAGTCAGAAAACCGTATCTACTAAGCATAATTTAGCCTAGATCTAGTCTAGATCTATGACCTTTTTGATGATACAGTATGATTGAAATATGTGCTTAATTTTTAAGTATTAATCAAGTATCAGTAGACGGCTTCGGGTTAGACGGAGTCTAGGCTCTAGCTTGGTACAGTAGATAGGACACTCTGTGAAAATATTTATAAGTAAAGATTGGATGAAAAATATGATTGATGAAATTACAAAGTTCCATAGAGAGTGCTTCAGATGTTTGGAGAAGTGAATTCAACAGCTCATCTCTCCATCTCCTTTTTTTTTTAATTTTCTGGATTTGCCATTAACTAATTCCTGTAAACATGTAGATTAAAGTCATTGAAATTATTGGTGAAATTAGATATCATTATTGGTGAAATAAGTCACATTAACATTTTCACACTAAAATTCCAACTTGAACAGTAAAGAGGCATTTAGAATGGAGTAGCACAAATACATTAACAACAAGCAGTAAACACAGGCAAGGAAAGTAATTGATGATTTTGTCCTTTTCACAGATGCAAGCCAATGCACACCATATTGCCAGAATGCTAGCCTTCAACATCCCTCCCCATGTATATTACCCTCATTTGAAAAAAGGAGGCTCTCTTAAAGAACTGGCAAGAAAATTTCGAAAAAGAGATGAGAATGATGAGCAAGAAGAGGATGATGAAATGGAACTAGACGATGATGAAGAAGAGGAAGGAACAGAGGATGATGAAATGGAAGGAACAGATGAGAATGAAGAGGAAGGAGGAACAGAGGGTGGATCAGAGACTGAGGAAGGAGAAAAGAATGAAGAAACCATAAAAGGTCAGTTGTACTAGAAGAATAATGGTATATTAGAATTATTTTATTCATTGTTATTTCACTGTCTTTAATATAAATAATTATATAAAGTATTGATCGTTGAGTAGTGATTTTTCTTTATTTGTTTCTGTTTTATTTTGTCAGGAGAGCCAATGGTAACACAGTGATGATTGTGTACAAATATAGTTTTCCTGTCCAAGAACACTTGCATGAATAATCATTTTCATATTTTGTTTACTTTGTTCTTCTCAAAAATTCATTACTATATTGCATCCCAACTTAACAGGGATCATCCTTGGGCAAGTGTAATCTAAACAGTTAAAACGATTCTATCCATGTAAAAAGAGGGAATAATAGATACTCTCAAATTGTTATAAGTTGATACTCTGTTGACAAGGAGGCATGGAGGACCCCATCCCAATATGTAGTAGTATTTATACATTTTTGACATATTTAAGGGACAAGTACCTCCCCCTCCCCCTCCTTGTTATCATCATGGACCAACTTCTCCCCCTCCCCAAGGATTAATGTCCCTGAATCAGGACATGGCAAGCACACACACTTGTGTGATGGACTGTAGTTATATATGTCTGAAGGAAAATGAAAAGGGGACATGAGGAAATTTAAGGAGGTTATCATGAGCTATCAGATGGCAGTTTAGAAACAACAGAGCTGTAAACTATAATGACTGTGAAATAACTAAAGATCTCAATTTGTAGTTTTGAACTGTTCAATACAAATTCTATATCTTTGTTATATGATATGCTCTGCTATATCATTGTATTGAACAGTTCAAGATGAAAAGAAATGTTTTTTCTGTCTGAAGAGCAGTAGGTTGATGAAAGTGAGACTACTTGTTATCATTCCATTCTAGAATCTTCTAAACGTGGAGAGCCAAGCTTGAGCAAAGATGATACTGAAGATGAAGATGAAGATGAAGATGAAGATGAAGAAATCAAAGAACATCAAAAGAAATCTGGTAAATATAACCAATCATTATTTTCATGCAAAAGGTTTTTATATTCCAAACAGTTACAAAAATCAAAAATCAAAACGGCTATGATTTTGAGAAGTTCCTTTGGAACACTTCAAATAAAGTTGCATTATAAATATTGGTGTGTTTTAGGCCCTGTGCAAATAATAATTTCAAGAAATGCTCTTTATTCACATGTATTATCAAAGATTCTTTAAGAAGGAAACACTAAAAAATGATTTAACATTTATGGCAGTGTAAAATTATTTTGTTTCCTCCTAGGAAGGATGCCACATACTTTTTATTCTCAAATAATATAATATGATTTGTAAAGAAACAAACTATATCACATTCATGCTTCAATTTCCAATGTTTATCATTTTAAAGACAATTTTTGGGCTCACTCTTCAAGCCTTTATCAAGTCGAATGAAGGCAATAATGATAGCTTTAATTATAATGATTTATTGTCGTCATTCGGCTTGATAAAGGCTTGGAGAGGAAAATGAGACAGGGACATGAGGACATTTAAGGAGGTTATCATGAGCTATCAGATGATGAAAGCAATTCGGAAACAACAGAGCTGTAAACTATAATGACTGAAAAACATATATCTGAAGATCTCAATTTATAGTTTTGAACTGTTCATTACAAATTGTATATCCTTGTTATCATTGTATTGAACACTTTAAGATGAAACAAAAATGTTATTTTGTCTAAAGAGCAGTAGATTCATGAAAGTAAGATTACTTGTTATCATTTCATTCTAGAATCTTCTAAACGTGGAGAGTCAAGCTTGAGCAAAGATGATACTGAAGATGAAGATGAAGATGAAGATGAACAAATCAACGAACATCAACAGAAATCTGGTAAATATAACCAATCATTGTTATTCAAAAGGTTTTTGTATTCCAAACAGTTACAGAAATAAAATATAAAAACAGCCATGATTTTGAGAAGTTCCTTTGGAACACTTCAAATAATTTGTTTACTTTGTTCTTCTCAAAAATACATTACTATATTTCATCCCAACTTAACAGAATCATCCTTTGGCAAATGTAATCTCAAATTTTATAAATGGATACTCTACTGACAAATGGAGGACCCCATCCCAACATGTAGTAGTAATTATACATGTTTGACATATTTAAGGTGCAAGTACCCCCCCCCCCCCCCCCTTGTTATCATCATGGACCAACTTCTCCCCCTCCCCAAGGATTAATGTCCCTGAATCAGGACATGGCAGGCCCTAAATCTATCCCCTCAGGAGAGCGTAAATTCCATGGACCTCTTTATTTTAACTTCATTTTGACAGGAAAAACCAACAAACCAGGGCTTTAAACAGAACATGATACAAAGCATGCATTTTGGCCTACAAATGTGTGTGATATACTGCAGTTAAATATATCTGAAGGAAAATGGGAAGGGAACATAAGGAAATTCAAGGAGGTTATCATGAGCTATCAGATGATGAAAGCAATTCAGAAACTACAGAAGTGTAAACTATAATGACTGTGAAACAGATAACTGAAGATCTCAATTTATAGTTTGAAATTGTTCATTACAAATTGTATATCCTTGTTATCATTGTATTGAACACTTTAAGATGAACAATAGGTTGATGAAAGTAAGATTACTTGTTATCATTTCATTCTAGAATCTTCTAAACGTGGAGAGTCAAGCTTGAGCAAAGATGATACTGAAGATGAAGATGAAGATGAAGATGAACAAATCAACGAACATCAACAGAAATCTGGTAAATATAACCAATCATTGTTATTCAAAAGGTTTTTGTATTCCAAACAGTTACAGAAATAAAATATCAAAACAGCCATGATTTTGAAAAGTTCCTTTGGAACACTTCAAATAATTTGTTTACTTTGTTCTTCTCAAAAATACATTACTATATTTCATCCCAACTTAACAGAATCATCCTTTGGCAAATGTAATCTGAAAGATAAAATGATAGTATCCGTGTGAAAAGGGGGAATAATGGATAATCTCAAATTTTATAAATGGATACTCTACTGACAAATGGAGGACCCCATCCCAACATGTAGTAGTAATTATACATGTTTGACATATTTAAGGTGCAAGTACCCCCCCCCCCCCCCCTCCTTGTTATCATCATGGACCAACTTCTCCCCCTCCCCAAGGATTAATGTCCCTGAATCAGGACATGGCAGGCCCTAAATTTATCCCCTCAGGAGAGCGTAAATTCCATGGACCTCTTTTTATTTTAACTTCATTTTGACATGTACAAAGCATGCATTTTGGCCTACAAATGTGTGTGATATACTGCAGTTAAATATATCTGAAGGAAAATGGGAAGGGGACATAAGGAAATTCAAGGAGGTTATCATGAGCTATCAGATGATGAAAGCAATTCAGAAACAACAGAGCTGTGAACTATAATGACTGTGAAACAGATAACTGAAGATCTCAATTTATAGTTTGAAACTGTTCATTACACATTGTATATCCTTGTTATCATTGTATTGAACACTTTAAGATGAACAAATTTGTTATTCTGTATAAAGAGCAATAGGTTGATGAAAGTAAGATTACTTGTTATCATTTCATTCTAGAATCTTCTAAACGTGGAGAGCCAAGCTTGAGCAAAGATGATACTGAAGATGAAGATGAAGATGAAGTGCCCAGTACAGCACTCAGTGAGTCTTGGAAGGACTTTGGCCTGCCAGGCAAAATCTCATCAAGGGCTATCAGGAAGACAGTGGTGACAGCAGTAAGTTAAAGACGTTGTTGTACTTCTTTTAAAAGAATGTTTCTCTTTTTGTATCCCTCTCATTTTTATCAGTAATTTTGTATGGAGTTTAGGATAATTCATTTTATGTACCCAGTTATTCTTGCTTGTCCAATGCAACCATAATGAAAAACGACCAGAGCTTATAAACTTATGAACTTGTTAGATCTTGACTTTTAATATTAAGCATTTGCCTCCATGTAGGCTCTAATTGGGGCAGATTTTAGTTTTTTTTCTAATGAAAAGAGCTCATTTCACCTCTTTTAATGTGTACTGAAGTCTCTGATCAAGTTTATGCCCCGAAACACATACTGATACTAGATGCATGTGGATTGATGCCTTCTTCTCACAGCATTTCATTCATTCCCTACGATGTTTTGTGTTCTGTTACAGGCACGAGATGAATTATCAAATGAGGAGCGGCAAAGAATCGCTAGTTTCATGTGCCATTCTATAGAAACTGCTGATCACTACTATGCTGCGAGGTATAAGACCTCACAGAACATCGAATGTAGAGACCGAGTCTGGGACATGCTTGTTGGAGAGGTAATAATTTGTTGATTACCCATGTTCTTTACATTAAAAAAATGGCTGATTTCTTCTTAATTAAGATCTCAGTGATTTCGCTTGTAATTGCCACAAAGTGCTCTGTGTGCACTTTTATTTATATACCAAGATAAACTTTGAGTTTGATTGAGTTCAATGTGAATTTGCTCATCAAATTTTCATGAACAAAGGCCAATTGTAGTAATGTATACATATTTTATGCATGATCTCCTGATGAAAAATGTCTCCCTATGTACTGAAAAGCTGGTTGGGGATCGTCAAACATTGCAACAGCTGACATGTTCATGCTAATTGCATATCTCCCAAATTTGACATTGTAAATAATGTCCCATACAGCGAACTACAAGTTGATCTACTTGCAGAGAAAGAAAATACATGAATTCAAAACATTAGGAAACTTGTCTGTTGAATGCAAACTGAAAGCACTTTTGTTGTGATAGATTTGGCCTAAATTATTAAATTGTTTGAATTTGAAATGTATGTGCATAACAGGAAGACCTGCCCTATGCCGAACAGCAGCAACAGCACAATTTGAGGCAATCACCCCAGCACAATACAGAGGCAACGGAGAGTGTGGAATCACCCAATACAGAGGCAGCAGAGAATGTGCAGTCACAACAAGCCCCCCTGACCCAACACCTACAAAATAAAACCAGAAAGGTTTGTAAACTGCTAACCCCAAACTTTCTAAATTCAAAAACAGCATTTTTTTAAAATATTTTTTTTTTTTTGGGGGGGGGGGGGGGGGATGAGTTTTTATAACCCTTCCCAACAAAGTTTGAATAATCAGGGTGTGGGCAGTTGTCAGTCCACTGCAACATTTCTGAAGCAGACTACTTTTACACTGTTCGAGCCTACATGTTGACTTTCAGGTATAAATATGATTGACTCTTTTAACCATGGTAATGGCTGATTTGAAGAACAAAAAGTTGTTTACTGCTTCCAAAGTTTGGAGCAATATGGCAGAAACATGGTTGCCATATTTGGGGTATTAATCACCATTAGCAATATTTTTAATTTTCTTCTCTTCATTTTGTCCCATTTGCAAGTTTATTAAGTGATAATGTAATATTAGACTTGGTTAGGTGGCTAGTGGTTTGTATAAGTCTGCACTGTTTATCACAGATGCAATATTCTATGCTTCCTTGAAGACATTCTTGTGATAATTTATATTTTCTTTGCCTTGACTGTACTATTCAATATTGCTTTTACCAGCCAAGATCTCGCTTAAGACTGACTAGTTCTGAACTTGAGGATATGGAAAGAACTGTCCGTGCTGTGCTCAACAGAACATGCTTCAGAACAAAGTATCCAAAATTCAGGGACATAGTGAGTATTGTAGTTATTTCCAAAAGTATTTAGCACAAGTAAATGAATAATTCATAATGTATGAAATATTGGCCAGTTAGCTGTTTGCTAATGTATCATTAGCATGTTATGGAATATTATGTCATGTCAACTGGAAGTGTTATTAGGAAGAATTAAGAGAATTTCGTTATAATGTAGGCATATTGTCTTATCTTTTGTTTTGGGGAGTAAATATATTAAAAATACTTTTGTTTAACTGATATTTCAAAGGATATAACATCTGAATATTTACACTAAATGGTTTATCTTTGATATTAAGATGTGTTTACTTTGTGTCCTTGTCAAATGACCTTTAAAAAAGTTTTATGAGGTTTAAGGGAAGTGACAAGAATTGCATATTATTCAGACATTTTTGTTGGACTGTTGATTAAATCAATTAATGTATTTATTTTGTTCAGACTGATGAAGCTTACCCCCTAATAATGGCAACTACAAGGCAGAAAATGTCAAGGCAACAGTTCTACGACAAGGCTCGCAACATGGGTCTGAGAGATGGTAAGATTATTGTCTTAATATTTCCTAGGTCTTAAAAATAGTGGAAACCAGTTGATACCAATTAAAATGTTAACATGTTTTAATGGTTTCAACTGGCCAGTTATAGCACCAGTGGATTCCAGTTTATTCTAGTTAAGAAGTCAAACAGTATTTCATGATACCAGTAATGACCAGTATACAAATTTCCAGTGGAAACCAGTAAAAGTACCAGTTGGAATAACTATCCCCAAATGGTGCTAAACTAATTCAACTAACATCCGGTTTCCTATTGGATCTAACTTGTTTCAGTTTGTTATGTTGCTTTCAAGTGAAAATAAAATGTCCCACTTGAAGCAAGTCCAATTACATTGAATGTTTTCCAGTTGAGACCAGTAGAATATATCAGTAGCCGATGGTATTTTCAACTGTATAAGGAAACTTACTACAAAAAGTTAACTGACTGGAATCAGTTAGTTGAGATCAACTGGATTTCAACTGGGATTAACTGGATATTTTTTTAAAACCTGAGGTATGATTTGGAATATGCTTGTCAGGACTTTTAAACAACCATACAAATCAAATCATGCCAAAGTCATTTAATTGGAGGAAAGCAATTGCAAGGGAACGCTTTCCTCTGGTCTCTCTTTGCAATTCAAATTGAAATTGGGATTTACATTATGTTGGCCTTAATGCATGTGAAAATGTGTCAGAAAGTGTGTTGCCATGGAAACATCAAATAGTATATATTTGTTGAAACAATAAATCGTAATAATGCAATACACTGGTGTGGGATATAAATCACCTTAACTGATATTTCTAGTTTATTATGCTTACTGTTTACAATGGTTTCATGAAATCTTAGGATCCTTTTACAGCAACTGCATATCAGAGGCTGAATTAAGTTTACATAACATATATACCAGAATCTGATTCAATGGAATCTTGGGTAACCTCATAGTTAATGTCGAGGGATAATCTAATTGTTTCAGAATACATTCAAATGGGATAACCTGTCACTTATATGTGTGTTTTTTGTCTCTCTTTAGGGCTTTGGTGACTGTATGGTGGATCGTTCAACATGTTACATTCCCTACACATCATGATGTCTTCTACCAGAGATTACTAGAGCACTCCAGAGTAAACAGAATAGTTCCAGATTCTCAGCACATTATTATATATTTTTTTGTTACAGAAGGGTTCATGTACCACTTAGGCAGCCAGTTTTTTTTTTAATGAATTAGCAAAGGCTTCAAATCGCCCTTCACCAACACAAGTTGATGTAATTTTCTTTGGGCTAAGGCTTTTGATAGAGTCGACCTTGTTTGTATTTATATAAATCACATGTCTGTTGAAATATGCTCTCGTGGATCAGGTCCTTCCTATTAAATAGGAAACAAAGCGTTTTTATGATGCTAAATTAGGTTAGGCACATGTTAAAAATGTAAAAAATCACTTCATCGTGCTAAAACTAAGACATTAATTTAAGTCACCAGTGACCAATAGCTATTTAAAGTATCTTGAAATGAAGACAAGGTATATTTGTTTATATCCTGTATAAAAGATTGTAAATCGCCTCCAAATAAGTAAATCGCCTTCAAGCACAGTTTCAGCATAATCTGAATGGTTGTCAGGTGGTATTGTATAAAAAGCATCTCATGCTATTGTGAGCAAGAGCAGCTTGCTATGATAAGTTGCATCCGATTGTGTATTGTTATGTTTATTTTTTCAGCTTGTGACATTACAAGGGAATATGAAGGTCTGGAGGATTTACAGGGGCGGATCTTAACTATTTGCAGACAAATTTTTGGGAAAATGTTTTCAAATATGTGAAACATAATTATCTACATGAAACAGTTAATAATTTGTTGATTTATGAACCAATATACATCGATAAAAGTTAATATGTTTTGATATAATAGTGAACTTTTAAGCTTCGGGGATGTACACAAGTACAGGTGTACCAAGTTTGCATATTGCATTTCTGTAATAAATAAGACAAATGAAGTCTAAGCTGCCATTACATGCCATATCAGTAAACATGGACGGGAAAATAAGTACAGTTAGAGGGATAGTGCACAAGGAAGCTTGCGACCAATGGTCAATAGTTCAATGGTTAAGAGTTAGCTTTGATAAATATGCCTTTTAACACAATGATCCACAATATATATTTCAATAAATTTACCTATACATGTTAAGGATTTCTTGTCAGAAAACAGGAATGTTGGGATGAGAAATAACGGTACTCATTTTGTTACTTGGTAACATATTAATGGTATGTACGTTGTAAAGAGTAGCGGATATATTTGTAATCATTCAAGTGGGCATATATTGCAACACACTAAGAGATCGGAATGTTGCATCCTGGGAAAGTTGATGAGAACAATATGAGTAGTTCAGGACTGAGATGAAGCTATTTCTGGGTACTGGTCTGGTGTCCTGTGGCGTTAAAGCTTCTTCAATTTAATTGAATGTTTTATTATGGTTTCGTCGCGGCCAGCGGCTGAATGGAAAAAGATTTACAGCATAATATAAACAATGAAAATGTACTCTTTTTTTTTAAAGGTAAAACATTGAAAGAAACTCAGTTATATAGAGGAAATAAGAAGGTTTATAATAATGGTCGAGATTTAGAGGTACTAGTCTACCAAAGTTTTATATATTAGGTCAGCTTGTTATAACATTATTATACATGATCATAATAATAATAATGGTGGCTACTTGCAAATTAAGCGCCCAGGTCCCTCACGCATGATGTGATGTAGGTAACAAAACCTTTAATTTTTAGTTAAGTTGGACTGAGTGAAATCAGATTTATTTTTTGAAGTAGAATTGAAATTCAGAATATTTATTTGAAATTAGAAAAACATGATGGAGAAAACCATGGAGAAATTACAAAACAAAGTTTCTTTGGGTTAATGATGTATAGACTCAATAACGAAAGCAAATGAGAGTGTAATAGTTCAATTTTATTCTAAAAGCATTATAACATTGTTGAAACTAAGCCTATAGATGAAACATAGAATATTGAAATTTATCATAATTGTATACTAGGGATTAATTAGACATCAATTTAAGGGGTTTTGTCATTTTGTAAGTTTTTTCACATTAACTCTGTACTACGTTGATATTTTGAGATTGTGTATAGTTTTATCTCATGTAACTTTGACATCGTTTGTCTGTACTCAAAGGTATATAAAGTGCATATGTTTAATAAATCCTTAAACCTGTGATACACAAGTGTTGGCGTGTCAGATGCACGGCTTTTGGTTGTGTGTGGGTGTGTGCGTTTGTGAGGATGTTTGTGTGTGCTGTAGGTCCCTTGGTCAGAAAATTTCATGATGCATATAGGCAGTACAGCCCAAACATATATGTCCGTGTGTGAAATGAATGCAAACAAAAAAAGAAATGAAATGATCGAAGGAAGAAATAAAGAAATAACGAATCAGAGAAATAAATGATGAAAGTTTGATTAAAAAAACCCTAAAAACCCATTCAAAAGTGAGGACCAGATTTCCTCTAAAGGGATGCCTGTTTGTGATGTAATAGTATGACCATGCATAACAAGGGCATTTAAATGGTGTTGTTGTTGTAATCGTAGTGTTTAACTCAGCAAGCTAGGGGCCGGTTCCTTGAAACCGTCATAAGTCTAACTTCTTGACTATCCCATTCAAACGTGTGATATAGAATTAACACGCGTTTCAATGGGAAAGTCAAGAAGCTGGACTTAAGACTGTTTCGAGGAACGGGCCCCTGGATACATTCCTCGAAAGAGGGCGTCCCGCATTCTCGTATCAGGTTCATCAGGTTCATTTTTACACCTCTTCAGACTATGTTTAAAATGTGCCCTTTGGGTCTTAAATAATAAGATATCAGAGATTAAACTATAAGTAGAAGTTTTAATGATACATTTACACCATTTTCCTGCAATATTTATCATAAGAATTTGTTAAAGAACCATCTTCTGTAGGCGTCCCACACTTCCTTTTTTAGTAATTTTTATATATCGCTGTGTGATATGCCATAGGATTAGGGTTAGGTACATTAGGGTTATGGTTAGGGTTAGGGTTGAATAAACGTCTTACTGGCCAAAAGCCACAACATTTTCATTACAAAACATTTATATCACCATTTCACACATGAATATGAATCGTACAAGCTGAATTTCCTTGTTTTAAATAAAATGTTGGCAGTTGTGTTGTCCCATACTTCCACAAACGAAAGAAAAATGAGTATAAACAAAAAAACACATATTTTGTTTTTCTCATAAAATTTACAGGATTAAACGTCGAGAAACTACTAATATTAAAGATTATTGCATGTTATAGCTGTTTAGCATTTTTTAAATTTTTTAAATTCACCCCAAATTAAGATTTAGACCATTTTGCATGCTGCTAAATCATCGTCCTTTGCAATTCTTTCATTTTAAAACTATTTTCCAAGTATCTTCTTAAACCCATTACAACATATAGGGTAAATCCTTTAAAACAACGAAATGAGAAACAGCGAATTAAGATTGCATGGAAGAATTAACAAAATTAAAGCTTGACACGATAATATAAAGGATTTTAATAGTAAAAACGAAATTTGGACCTAATATCTCGTAAAAGAAAGGCGTAATTGATGATTCCCACACTTCCGATCGTGTACAAAATAAATGGGCGGAGCTAACGAGAATTACGGTAGAAGACTGTGATCCTTTCTCACTTTGTATTTGTCCCACACTTTCTCGCCCGGAGAGAGAGAGAGAGAGAGAGAAACTTACAGGGTAACAGACAGGGAGTGGATGACTTTCTTCCATCACTGAACTTAGCAGTGTGGGAATGCATCCTATGATCTTATGAATCTAGAGAGAGAGAGAGAGAAACTTACAGGGTAACAGACAGGGAGCGGATGAATTTCTTCCATCACTGAACTTCGCAGTGTGGGAATGCATCCTATGATCTTATGAATCTAGAGAGAGAGAGAGAAACTTACAGGGTAACAGACAGGGAGCGGATGAAGTTCTTCCATCACTGAACTTAGCAGTGTGGGAATGCATCCTATGATCTTATGAATCTAGAGAGAGAGAGAGAAACTTACAGGGTAACAGACAGAGAGTGGATGACTTTCTTCCATCACTGAACATAGCAGTGTGGGAATGCATCCTACGATCTTAAGAATCTAGAGAAAGAGAGAGAAACTTACACGGTAACAGACAGGGAGCGGATGACTCTCTTCCATCACTGAACTTAGCAATGTGGGAATGCATCCTATGATCTTATGAATCTAGAGAGAGAGAGAGAAACTTACAGGGTAATAGACTGGGAGTGGATGACTTTCTTCCATCACTGAACTTAGCAGTGTGGGAATGCATCCTATGATGTAATGAATCTAGAGAGAAGCTTACAGGGTAACAGACAGGGAGCGGATGAATTTCTTCCATCACTGAACTTAGCAGTGTGGGAATGCATCCTATGATCTTATGAATCTAGAAAGAGAGAAACTTACAGGGTAACAGACAGGGAGCAGATGACTCTCTTCCATCACTGAACACAGCAGTGTGGGAATGCATCCTATGATCTTATGAATCTAGAGAGAGAGAAACTTACAGGGTAACAGACAGGGAGCGGATGACTTTCTTCCATCACTGAACTTAGCAGTGTGGGAATGCATCCTATGATCTTATGAATCTAGAGAAAGAGAGAGAAACTTACAGGGTAACAGACAGGGAGTGGATGACTTTCTTCCATCACTGAACTTAGCAGTGTGGGAATGCATCCTATGATCTTATGAATCTAGAGAGAGAGAGAGAGAGAGAAACTTACAGGGTAACAGACAGGGAGCGGATGAATTTCTTCCATCACTGAACTTAGCAGTGTGGGAATGCATCCTATGATGTAATGAATCTAGAGAGAGAGAAGCTTACAGGGTAACAGACAGGGAGCGGATGAATTTCTTCCATCACTGAACTTAGCAGTGTGGGAATGCATCCTATGATCTTATGAATCTAGAAAGAGAGAGAGAAACTTACAGGGTAACAGACAGGGAGTGGATGACTTTCTTCCATCACTGAACATAGCAGTGTGGGAATGCATCCTATGATCTTATGAATCTAGAGAGAGAGAAACTTACAGGGTAACAGACAGAGAGCAGATGACTCTCTTCCATCACTGAACATAGCAGTGTGGGAAT